AAAAAATGCCCCAGCATTTGATGTTGAATCATCAAAGATGCCCTCATTGTTCCTCATTTCTTGCTTCAGCATTGACTCTAAGCATGAGCTTTATGTTTGAGAGCCACATGTCATTTACCAAGATCCACTCTAAAGAGATTGTCTTGTTTTGAAAAAAAATGTTTTTCTTTCTCTTTTATTTTCAAAGTTTTGAAAATATCAAAAAAGAGTTTCGAAAAATATTTAATCAAAAGTTTTGAAAGCATTGCCTCTTTCACGGTTTTACAATTGAGACAAATCATAAAACTAGAGTTCATTGGATATCAAAGAATTAATTACATTATTAATCCTTCAATAAATTATAGCTATTTGACACGTGCCAAGATCAAATCTATTTTTGAGAAACGGTTAAGTAAGGAAAGGATAAAAAAATCTCATGTTATTGTGTTTGGTCAAAGGTTTGGCATTTTTGTTTATTTTGATGCTCAAAGGTTTGATGGGGTAGCTTGCATGGTCCTCTATTGGAAGTGTTCTCTGATTCCCAGCTTTCATGGTCACGCTCGAATTGTGCGATGCCTTATCAAGGAATTTGTGCGATCGCCTCAGCTGTCCAATTTTCATATTCGAGCCGCCTTTTCAGGTTTTCAACTCGAATCCTCCTTTGGTTTTAAGACGTCATTCGTAATTTACGTCTTGAACCCCCCCTTTGTTATTTTTCTCTATCATATATTAATTACACTGTTTTTTGCAAATAAAGATTAATCCTGATGGGCGGGATGAAATCTGAAGATAGTCTCTTCTGTTTAAAAATCCATGTATGATTAGAAGGGACTTTTAAGGCACGTAACGTAGGTCATGGTTCATGGTTATGAAAGAAATGGATAAAAGGCCCAAACAAGTGTTTAAGGGTGATTGAACCAATGATCAATTCATTATGATGTCTTCAATCATATCTTGCTCAATTTGAATATGCTCGTATGTCTCTCTCTCTTGATGCTCTATGATCTTCGAGTGGAGTGATTTAGTGATTCGGAAATGATTGTGTTTGATCAATCTCATTTGATGATCTATGATCTTCGAGTGAAGTGGTTCAGTGATTCGAAAATGATTGTGCTTGATCAATCTCATAGTTTGAATCTCAAAGTGTTGTTTGAATTGAGAGAATCTTTGCATATGCATCTTGTCTTCTTTTCTCTTCAATTTTCCTTTGTTTTTTCTTTTTTATTTTCTCTTTGTTTTTTTTCTCTTTTTTTCTCTTTTTGTTCTGATTGAATCTTCACACTTGACATTTGGTTCACTTTTTGGTATCTCATCTGAATCAATGTCTTCACTCATGCGAGAAGATTTTCTCCACCTTGCCCCCCAGTGTGGAGGGTGATCATTGGTTAGGGTTGAATCAGAAGAAAAATACTATAGGCTCAAAATGGGACACAAGGGATATATATTTTCTCCTATTGTTAAGGGGTAAAGAAAGAAAGTCGTTCATCATTTCATACATGAAAGCTTTCACATAAGAGGTATCCCCAGGGGGATAGATTTTCAGGATTAATTTTATTCACATGAAAATAGTGTAATTAATGCATAATAGAATTATTTCGAGTGAATTCTTCTTTCTGCTTCTTGCCCCCAACATGTCTCAATGTTCAGGCTCCCTACGAGATGCCCCAAGTTGTGTCTTAGAAGAATGCTCATGTTCAAATGAACAACTCAATGCCTTGGATTTTAATTGTATATAAAAATGTCAATTTTGAGTCTAAAAAGACAATGGTGTGACTTTATTGACTCAAAGAAAGGTATGGGTGTATCAAAAAGATAAAGGCATTGTTAAAAAATTTCAAAGGGATGTTATGTCAAAATTTGGTCTTTTTGGTAATGACCATGAGTTATTTTAGGTAAAGAATCAAGGTATTTTATTTTTGGGTTTGAGACAGGATAAGAAAAGTTTAATCTTGCCATATGTCAAAAATCTATAATTCTTAAAGAATTAAAAGAATCCTTAATTCATTTAATATTCGAAGAACTAAATATTAAAATTTGTTCAATTGCTCCACCTTAGAAAGTAACATAAATTCAATCGTTTAAAAGATTAAGCAAACATGAAAGATCAAAGAAGTGTTCAAACAAAACAATGCTCTAAGTGCAAATGGCATATGCAATGCCCCCTTATTCGGTTGTCCATGCCCCTGAATCCATCAGGTTTTGGATCTTGTGCTTCAGTGCCTTACAGTTCTCAGAGGAATGTTTGGGGGTTCCTATGTGGTATATGCAAGTAGCTTCAACATCGTAACCCTTAGGAGACGGGGACTCTTTTCTCAGATCATCCTGGTAGGCTTAGTCCTACAATCAGTTGATCAAGCTCCCACTGTACTAATTTTAGTTTTTTCTTTAATTGTTAAAATCTTGCTTCCATGTGGTGTAATGTGGTTAAGACCGCTTCATCGAATCCCTCATGGCTTAGTTTCATGTTTATGAAAATGCTTAAAAATGAAATGTATATGCAAAATGCAAAAATGCATGAAATGTTCGAAGTATTGATATGAAAACATGTCTATTATTATAAATAATCTTTATTGGGACAAAAGTGTTTTATCTTTTAAGAGACAATAAACATATTTAAAGGTATATCCGGACTAAATCCTGTAGACCCGGAACAGGTTGACTAGTCATTTGCCTTCGTCTTTCACCGGTTGAATAACCTGTCGAACCGCTCCGACCTCTCTGGATGAACCGTGAAAATGTTGAGTTTGTTTTTTGTATTGGTTCCCAAAAGTATCGAATGACTGCATCTCTGGATTTCATCCTTTGTTGAATCGGAAACTCTATTGAAATCCTCTATCAAAGGGATTATCCGAAGTTCATTTGCTTGTTTCTTGAATTTGTCGACAGTGACTTGCCATCTTGTTCTTGTTGTCTTTAAATGGACTCTCGAGATTAGTAACCTTTTTCTCGTCTTGCCCCTACCACCTTTGTCAACTCATTTTTGAAAAGTTAACTTTTGATGTACTTGATTGTGGCATCACGTCTTCTTGATCGAATGTGACACATAGCTACCTTGTAGATTATCCTCCTTTTCTTTTTGAGTCTTTTATGACCATAGTCGGACCCCTGTGTTCTTCATCTCTTGTATTACAACCCCTTTATCCATTAATACAAATTATTTATGGTTAACGAACACGTTTTTTAGTGGATCAACACCTCTTTAAAATGATGCAAATGATGAAAACGAAATAAAAGAGAACAAAAAAAAATTAGTGAGGTAAATCAAAACAATAAAATAAATCCTACCCCACACGATATCTACCCAACATGCTCATTATTCCTACCTAGACATGATCTATATCCCGCATGCTAATTTCAAACAAATCCTAACCGCATATTTATATAGTTCGCATGCTTTAAACAAAAAATAAAGCAGGAAACAAAGTAACCTAGGGTTTGAAATGAGGTTTATGGGTGGGCTCTAATTCTCCATAGTCTCTCGGTTTAGGTTTTGAAAACGGTACCCGAGTTCTCCTTGCTGGTGCCCCCTTGGGCTTGCCAGACCCTTAGTCCTAAGCTCATTACAAGCTTATGCTGACTAAGTTAAACTCGAGAGGAAACATTCCCTTATGCCTGCACGGTGAATAAATTCACATGAAGATATAAGGTATATGAATCCTGAAGGCTACTTGCTAGGCTCACACGGTGAATAAATTCACACGAAGGCGTCGCTTTCACCCCCACTTAAAAGGGTTTGGAGCTCGGGTATAGAGCCTTAGATGAAAATTTTGAAAATCTGAAATCATCAAAAAAATGTCAGTACAACTATTTATTTGAAAAATAATCAAAGGTAAGTAATTGGAATCAAATGAATAAATTAAAATTTATCATTTTCGCATAAAAAGATAACAAAAAATTAATTTCGGCCTGACTCACTTACCGGTCCCAGCAAAGTCGCCAAGCTGTCGTAACCGTCTTTCGGTTGAGCCCGGAATTGGGCTTCGACGTGAATGAGTTGGGTTAGAGTTGCCACCGATCACTTTAAAAACATTTAGGTAGATCGACACCATCTTACCTGATCTGCGTTTTACCAAAATATGTCAGGTTCGGGAGTCGGTTACAGTCAAGGAAGGATTAGCACCCTTGAACTGCCCTTTCGGTACCATTTAATTTGTCGGTTGTCTTAATTGCGAAAAATTATAATTATAATTATAATTTAGAGATTTGATTCAAATTATTTATCTTTGATTAGTTAAAATTATCCCAAAAAAGATCATAAATAAAGTTAAAAAATAAAACAAACAAACATAAAGGTTAGTATTAAAATCGAAATAAAAAAGAGTAAATAAAAAGAATGAAAGAAAATTCAAATTAAAAATTAAATTGGAAATAATTAAAATTTATGGATCAAATTAATTCTAGAAATGAGCTGCAAGAGAAAAACAAAAACTTAAGGGATTAAAACAGCAAAAAAGGAAATTTAGAAGAATAAAACAGCAAAACAGGAATTCAGAGGACTGAACTACAAATATATAAAAAACAGAGATAACATCAAAATAATAAACATTATATGCATTAGAAATGTAAATGACCCAAAACTAATATAGAAGACTAAAATAAAATAACCAGAAACATAAAGGAGCAAATACTAATTAAACCCAACACAAGGCAGTGATTAAAATAGAATAATTACACATATCATGACTAAAGTCAAATATAAACAAAATGGTAATAAGTAAACTGGTGACTAGGATATAAATATGGAAAGATAAAGACTCAAAATGAAATAATGTAAACTTCATTTCAATGCCCAAATATTGAGACTACAAAAAAAACAAGGACCTACATGGATATTTGACCTTAAAAATTGATGACTAGAATAGGAATAAGTGGCTAAATTAGAGTGGCTTAATAAGTAATTAACCCTAAACTTAATAAATAACCTAAAACAACTAAACTAACATCACGCATCTTCTTCCTATTCTCTCCATGCGGCGCAGAGCTTTCCAATTCCAAGGGCGAGAACGATCTAGCCACCGAGCTTGGGTGGCCGCTAAGCCCCGGTCGGCCTTCCGTTCAACCGAGGGAGACACACAACCTTCCTAGGAGACCAAGAATGCTTCCTCTCCTATCAAAACACATAATCCGAAAACCCAAAGTCGTGGCCAACACCTGCTCACCGTAAATCAGCGCGGCCACGAGACTCGAACCCCTCGACGACGGCGACACCCCACTCCGACGAACACCGAAGCAAGGTAACCTAACTCCCTATCTTATTTTAATTATTTTTCTTTAGAACTCATGGAATTTACTTTAACAACTAACAAAATTATAAACTAATTTTTGTTATTAATTGCATTCGAATTGAACAAATAAGCTAAAGAAACTGAAATACAAACTGAAAATACCTTAGATTCGGTTCTGCTTTGATCGCCGAAAAATTTCCTGTATTTTATTGCTATTTTTCTCTGAAGATCGAGAGTAATTTCCCCCATTTCTATGTGTTCAATTACATGTAATTTATAAATTTATAGGGTTTACAAAACCCTATTTTTGGGTGTTTAAAACCTAATAAAATACTAAGTTTGTTGTTGGTGATAAACGTTGCCGAGAAATCCGGGAATGGAGACGAGAGACGTGCGGCTGAAGGGGAGAACAGAGTTGCTGGGTAGTTGTTTTATTATTGGGCCCGAGTGGACGAAAATATGGGTCTACAACATCATATTGGTTTTTCATTTTGGCGTTGCCTAAACCAAGAGTTCAATTTTCTTTTTCTTTTTTTTTGTATTTGTAGTATTCTTATTTTATCTGGGAAAAGAATCTCTTCAATGAAACCTCGGAGTCGGTGAATTGGAGTTTTTGAAGTAAGAATTGTAGAGTTGGAGGGTGATCTCTTTGAAATTGGTGTACGATCATGGAGTCGTATATCTGGAGCAGCAATGCCAAGCCAGAAGCTTTGCATTTCCTCGTTGCTTTACTTCGTGCTCTGTTTCCCTGCAGCCAGGTTCTTGCTTGACAAATTCATTTTTCGCTTATGTTTTTCTTTCTTTCTTTCAGTTTTGATTCTGTACTTAGTTTATTGTTTCGAAATTTTAATTGCCATTTTGGTTTTATAATATTTCGTTTGGCATGTATTAAGCTTGGCGAAATTAAGGAAAAATGGACGTTGGTGAAAGAATTTAGGGATTGTATTGAATTAATTAGGGAAATATAGATGTTTCTACGTTGTAACAAAATCGTCTGTAACTGAAATCGAATTTGCTTTAATTTTTCTTTTTGTACTTTAGGACTAAATTGAAAGAAAATTAAAAGTACATGAACTAAAATAAAATTTTATAAGATTACTATAATAAAATGATATAGTGAGTTCACTAAAGGCATCCAAAATTCACTTAATATTGATTTATGAAAAAAAAATTACTCTGTTTTCCACTTTCATTTTTTTATAATTTGGTACCAAAATGCAAAATGAAAGAATAAAGTCGACCGTAGTTGCCGGTGATTGTGTCAAAATTGCCTGCGTCTGCTGGCGACTTTGATAAAATCGTCTTCATCTATCAACGACTTTATCAATCACTGTAATTCGATACATCTTCAAATCTTTAATTTTTTTCCCCAACATTCATTTCCCCTAATTTTGCCATTAAGCTTAATAAAAATAGGCCATTTTATAATTCAAAAGAAATCCATCGCATCAAAAAACATGCTAGTAATTGGGCTAAGTGGTTTTGAGGTGAAGTCAAGGAGAAAAAACTGTTTTTTTCTAGCTTAATACAACATTTTAATTTTTATTGCTGTTCCTTTAGAGGTTGCCTGTCTGGTTATTGAGTACTGGATCTGCTCATTTGAGGAAGAATATTGAGGCTACACAGGCAATAATTGCAAAATGCTCAGAATCTATGTGGAAGCTGGCATACTTTGCTACTGTTGAAACATGGGTCCTCAAAATCACCTACTATGAGCCATGGTTCAGAGATGTAAAAGGGTACTTTAGGGACTGGCCAAATCAAGAGTTGAAGTGAGTAACCTATATTCCTGAATTTGTATCCAACTGTTGTGTTTACCAATCTCATATCTTGTTCTAGTATGCAATGTTATTCACCCCTTTTTCAGGTTATGATTGTCTTTGTCATAACTGTCAGAAGGTTAATGTTCCTCTTCAGTTCCAATGCTCCATGTTTCTTATGTCTAAATTGGCATTTCATGAAAGGCTCTTCTCTTGTTTATGATTATTCTCTCAGAGATAATGGTCAAATCTATAATTGTTCATTTCTTTAATGATTGAATGCTCTAAAACTACTCTTCTATCTTGAGATGAAGGGATGTATCTGCACTCAAGGGAAAAAGCTGTTTCCTATCTTAATTTCCTTTTGTTTTAATTCCAAAGAACGTTTTTTTTATTGTTCCTTAAAAAATGCGAAATCTGTCTATTTTATGTCTCAATTTTTCCGTTTTTACTTCACTCGAAATTAATTGCAAATAAGTTTGTATAAAAGCTGGTACTCATTAATGTGCACCTCTTTGTAAAGCTATGGTGAATGATTGCTCATATTAACGTATTTGAAAGCAAAGTCGCATCAAATATCTGATTATTGTTGTTGTGTTCTGTTATTGTTTTCCAGTTTAGTTCCCTTAACATCCCAATGATACTAATCTTAACGTTCACGACTAGCAGATAAGCCTAACTTAAACTTGTACTTATCATCTGTCAAGCTTGTTATCTTGTTTTATTGTACTTTCATTTGTGCTTTTAATTTGAATTGGAGGGGGTATAAGTGTTCTCGTGACCAAGTGAATGTGTTATCTTATCTCTGAAGTATCTTGCTCGGTAACATCTTATCTTCATGGAAAATAATTTATAATGAGATATTGTCTACCTTCAAGGAATAAATCTGTTTTTTTCGTTTTTTTTATTGAAATTTATGTGGTTTCTCTTGATACATACCTCAACATGTTTTTCTTTGTTCTTTTAATTATTGGATCCTGCATGGTCGGAGGACTTGGCTTGTTATACCTGCTGACAACTTACTTTTAATTTCTTCATTTTTTTTCAGGCTTTCCTTAAGCCTTTTCTACATGTGCCAATGTGGGTTCTACATCTATAGCATTGCTGCACTCCTTACTTGGGAGACTCGAAGGAAGGATTTTGCTGTGATGATGTCTCATCATGTAATACTACAATCCTGATTGGATACTCATATGTTACAAGGTAACTTACCCTTTTCTGTGGAAGTGCATCTACCCCGTCGTTTCTGTATAAAAGAGGCAAATATTATTCCTTGTGTATTGTTTGTATTTCATTTTTTAAAATATTATTATTATCTTTTATTCTATACATACTAAAATGTGTTTGCTTTCTGTACGCATATATGGTATCCCTAGTTGAATATGCTCCCGTTTGCAAGTTGGTTTGATAAATTATATGAACTTGTAGATATCCAAGCATGAAAAGATTATAATTGGCTTGTTTACGCTTTTTCCGTATGGTTCAATTGTCCTTGCCTATGAGCAAGTGCTGTGTTTTTGGAAGCAGCTAAAATTTTAAAATATACGGGAAGGGATCTCGGTGCTAGCGTGTGCTTCGGATTATTTTCCATTTCTTGGCTCGTGCTACGTTTAATAATCTTTCCATTTTGGGTCATCAAAAGTTCAAGGTTTGCCTTTAATGTGAATGACTTGGTTTCACTACATGAGCTGCAGACTGACTGATCAATTGTCTACTTTGGTGGTTGGCCTGTAACAGCTATGATCTTATGGAGTTCTTTCGTCCTTCAGAGTCATATCGCAAATTCTTGTACTAGTTTCTGAACACTATGTTGCTAATGCTACTTGTGTTCCACGTCTACTGGTGGGTTCTCATATGCTCCATGATCATGAGGCAATGGCAAAACTGAGGAAAAGTAGGCGAAGACATTAGATCCGGTAAACATCTCTTATATCTTGTTTTTTATTTCTTTTTTTAAAATAATTTGAGCTATTAAATATAATTCCATGATCATAGAATGTCATGATGTTCACATAACTCTCTGAAGAGCTTGCTTGTGTCCATGATGCTCTCTTAAAAGGAAGAGCAGTGTTGTAGAAGTTAAAAATCTAGTTATAAAACATGTGTAGAAGGCGCTTTTGATAGGAAATCCTTTTAAAGACGCGTTTGACGTGGAGTATCTTTTGCTCGTGTGACAGAGAAAATTATAAATATAAAAAATGAACTAAAAGGATATTATTTTAGGTAGTAATTTTTTTACAATGATATTTGAATAATAAAAAGCTTGTAATATTAGTTTATATATGTATAGGGTTGTAAGTAATGCCGGAATTGTTTTTTTATCGACTTGCTTGTGTTGGTTGAAATGCAGATTCCGAGGATGAAGGTAACTAAAATGAATATGTAATTGGTTGTGGGGATGTCAACCTCTGAGGGTTTCATTATTTATATACACGCGTCTTTAAAAGGATTAATTCTGTTTAAAAGATTAAATTTGGTGAAAAATCTTTTTTTTCTTTTTTTAAAAATAATAATTCAATTTAAATATTTTTAAAATTTAACCTAATTATTATACATATTGTAGTATGATAATAATAAATATAGGCATGGCCGAAAGGTAAAAAGAATAATTTGTTATCAACTTTCTTCTATAAAAACCTAATCTTTAAAGATTGAGTTCTTTTTTTCTTCAAATCTTCCATGATATTTCTCCGAATCTTTTAAACATGGATTATCAAACTATGATATAATTTAATATTTATTTATTTTAATAAGAATGAAAACATTACCGTAAAACACTAATTGCGAATAAAGACAGGACCATGGAAGGCACGAGTGAAATGGGAGATGGCTTCCAATATATGCATACTTTACCATTAGTATTAATAGTGGATTTGGCAAGTAATCAATAGCAACATTAGCTTTACGGCGAATAAGAAGAAAGTCGCATTCATGGTTTTGAAATGAGGCTAGCAATGGAGTGAACAAGTGATATGAGCTAGAGTTAGCCGTTGGTGAAGACACTAGCTTAGAAGCTTCCTCACAGTCCGTTTGATATTGAAATCGTTCAATTCCATGGGACCACGTTAGTTGGAAGTCCTTCAAAAATGTCCCGAGTTCAGCTTGCAAGGGAGACGAAATGATTGAACAATATGTTACTATAAATTATTTTAATTTTAACTTTTTAACTATAATCCTATAAAATATTTTAATTTTTTTTTGGTTTCTCACAATATGATTGAACAATAGTTTATGTTTAAGTAGATAGAAGTATGATATCAGTATTTTTTTTACCATGCTATTCTTAAGTTTTCAAACAGAGGCGGAATATGTTAATAGGTCAACAAAAAAAAGCAAAAAAAAGGAGATTTAAGTGTAAGGGAAGATAGTTATGGGCGTGGTGGTCTAATTTAAGACAATTTTAATATAAAATGTTATCATGTTTAATTTAAAAAGTTATATAAATTTATAATTTTTTCAGTTGTAATCAAAAAGTTATATTACAAGAGCGGAATTTAACCAAAAATATTAGGAAGAATGTAATGTTTTTTATTGCAACTTGTCAAATTTAAAAATTATTCTAACCTAAAAAGTTACACTTTTAATAAGATTTTCAATTACAATCTGTTCGTCTTTTTTGATCTTATATTAATAAGTTTGTATTGTATACAATAAAATTTGAAAAAAAATCCAGGTGGAAAAAATAATTTGAAAAATACAAGTGTTTGAGAATTGTTTTAGGATCTATGTCATTTGTTATAGTGCATATGAAACTAGCCAAGAAATAGTGACAAATTTCATAAAATACTTAAAATGAAACTTATCATATAAATCAGAATAAAATTTTATGAAACTCATCATTTTCTCATAAATATTTTTAAAATGATGTTAAATATGTAATTAATTTTTATTAAAGTGATATTTGTGTAAAAATATCAACTTTATTTATTTATTTAATTATTTTTTGTGTGTGAAAAAAAACTTTCTACATTAAAATCTTTAATATTCTTTTGCCAATTATTTTATATCTCGAAAAATTTTGATTTTTGCATAAAATACACAATACATATAATTAGTATGAAAACTTTGAGTGTAAGTAATTTAAAATATGAATAATTTTATAAAAGTTTTATAACTAGTATATCAAAATACACAAAATGATTAAGATGTAGTGATGAAGATAAAAAGCAAATGTTAAAGAATAAGTTGTTCAAATCAAATTCCACTAAATTTACTAAGTTCAACAGGTTGCACACACCTCATACGTTATTGCTCATTTACAATCTCGCAGAGGTCTGTGGTTGTAATTTATATTTCCTATATGCAGACTTTTATTTCCAAGTTTCTTTGCTTCCTCAATTGTAATTAAAAAAGAATAAATATTATTAATTGTTGTTAAAAAATAATAATTAATGAATAATAATTCATTTAATCCCTCAATTGTAATTAAAATTTTATTTTAATATTTTTTTATATTTTTAAACAATTAATTTTAAAAATTAATAAAATTTTCAAAAATATATGAAATTTATAATTTTTTTAAATTATAAAATTTTTCTTATCATCATCATCATTTGGTAAAGGAAATACTATTATAAAACTTTTATAAAATTATTTATATTTTAAATTACTTACACTCAAAGTTTTCCAACACTTTATTATACGTATTGTGTAATTTCATGCAAAAATTAAAATTTGTCGAGTTATAAAATAATTTGTAAAATAATATTTAAAGATTTTAATGCATAAATTTTTTTTATGCACACCCAAAAAATAAATAAATAAAGTTGATTTTTACACAAATATCATCATAACATAAAATTAACATTCGATTTTTTTATACATTTAACAAGGCACGGTGTATAAACCGCACCTTTTAACACGTGATATAAACTGCGATGCATGAGTCGTGCCTTCCTATAAAATGACGGTAACGCTTTACTGCCAAGTACCAGGCTTTGGTGGACCCAAATGTCGGTTTGTTCAATTTGACACATCACTCTCCTTTTATTTCCTGATGTCATATAATGACGTCATCTGCCACCTCATCAACCCATGGCGACTTCTGCTATCTACTTGGCACACGCCCGACATAATAGAGGTCTCCTAAGCCGTGTCTTAAACGGTGTAACCAGCTGGAATGCCACGTATATACTTCCGAATCTCCGTATATAAACGCCCCCTCTGCTCCTTTTTTCTGTCGTCCTTAACCAACTGAAATCTGGAAAAATACTTTTGCCCGCTTTACCATCTTTCTACGGAACAAGAAATCCCCGTCATGTTTCCGCCTTCAAGAACCTCATCACTGGTTCCACTTCCTCCGCCGCCGCCGCCGCTATTGATTCTTTTTTGATTTTGGTGCTCCCGGGGGTTCCACTTCTACTTGTACCGGCGCTGATCGGGGGAACACGGTACTTCAAGTGAGTGAAGTTCAGGATAAGTGCCACGTCTGCAAATTCGACGGCGGTCTGGGGTGCAATCTTTTCCCGCCAACTCAGCAAGACGAAAAAAAGGGGACAACAATTACGCCCACAACTAAAATTAGAGTTAAAAGAGTAAAGAAAAACTACAGGGGAGTCCGGAAAAGACCGTGGGGCAAATGGGCAGCGGAGATTCGAGACCCGAGGCGTGCCACCAGGGTGTGGCTCGGAACCTTCAACACGGCGGAGGAAGCAGCTTACCTTACGATAAAGCAGCTATCGATTTCCGAGGACCAAGAGCTAAACTCAACTTCCCCTTCCCTGATATCAATTCAACACCAGCAGCAGCAACCGGAACAGTTACACCAAAAATAACCAGTGCTCATGAAATTAATAACAGGTGGATGACTGAGGAAAAAGATAAGGTGAGCATGGAAACGGATAGGGGAAAAGGATTGGAGGATGAGATTCAGCAGTGGATGATGACAGAATTTGATGGGGACAACTATTGTTGGGATTCTACTGTTACTACCGGGAATGCTAATACTTTTTAACTTTTTTATGTATTTGTAGCAGAGTATTGTGTTTGTATAATTTACAATATCCACCATAGCCATAGGCTCTTCTTATATTTTTACAGAGAAAGAGTTGGATGGAGGTGATAACTACTGGTTACTGTAAAATTGTAATTTCCCATTCTCTATTTCTTCTTCTTCTTTGCCTAAAATTGAAGGATTAATCAATAACTAAGAGGAGGAATTTATATTCCAGATATATTCTTCTCGGGTTTTATGTTGATGTTTGCGGGTAGTCCTGCCATTCGTTAATCTATTTAAGACTGACTTGAACTTAGACATATGTAAATTTATAATTTTTTTATAATTGAAAATATTTAATTTATAATATCCTCAATTGTATTGAAAATATTACTCAACTAAGGGATGGACATTGGTCGGGTCGGATGAATTTTCGATCAACCTGACTCAAACTGAAAATTATATATCATCAACCCGAATCTGAATCGACCCGAAAAATATACATCCATAATCCAAATCTGAACGGACTTTTTGAGATAAAATTTGAATCAATCCGACCCGAAATAATATATTTATTAAAAACTATTATTTTATTTAATAAAAATAGAAATTTAATTGAAAAACATATAGAAGGGCATTACTGTAATTATTCTTAAATTCAAAAATTAGGGTAGCCAAGAATGGGAAGGGTCGGGGAGCAGGAGAAGCTCAACAGGCGCAATTGGAGACCGGGATTTCCAGTTCGACGAGACGAGAATGACAGACTCGAAGACCGAAAACCAGAAGCTATTCAAGGGATCGGTCAGGCATTAATCGTCGGAACATTGGACTTTCAGTATTTGTGGACAACGTCAGCAGGAGGACTTCTCAAGCACTCCTAAAGGGTGTCTTTAGTGCATATGGAAATGTGGTAGATGTATTCATAGCTTACAAAAATGCTAAAAGGGCTGATAGGATAGGATATCAACTTTCGAGTTTGTTAGATTTAGTATGTTTGGTGAAGCAAGTTTCGCATCCGAGAGAGGCGATGGAATACTAAAGATAGGTTTCGTGTCAGAGTATTCAGAGAAAAAGTCTCGAGTAACAAGGTCCAGAAAAAAGCACCTAGAGTTCTTAAAGTGTGGAGAAGAGATGCAACAGAGAAAGCTGGAAGATCCTTCAAGGAGGCCCTTTTGGATTTTAACGAGG